TATATATATATATATGTATATATATATGTGTGTGTGTATATATATATATATATATATATATATATATATATATATATAGTTAAGTAATTGCAAATTACTTAAATGCATTTATGCCAAGAAATAAGGATTTATGCTCACATTTACACACGTTTGAAGGCATTGTGTTAATGCATGCATGTAAGCCTTTACAAGGTCTGGCTTGAGCTGGGCTGAACATTAAAACACCAACCAAAACTAAATTTGCTTTTGCGATGCACCTCTTCACTTAAAGGCAGACACTAAGTTATGAAAAAGAGTATTTTTTACAGCACTCAACTGCATCTTTTAACCACTGAAAAACAAAAAGTGACAAGGATGCATCACTCTCAACTAGGGGTTGAACGACTTCTGATTTTTTTAAAGTCGACTTTTATGTCATGAAAGTTGAGTCGAAGTCGACTAGTCGCTGATGACGTCATTAATGAACAAATAAGTCTGGAGCTGTGATAAACACCTTGTGCACAGCTATGGCATATGACACAGCGCTGCCCACATGGCTATTGCTCCTATAACAGCTCATTTTTAACAGTTCTTTTGTCTTTGAGTCGTTATGTTTCTCACATATTTCTGCTCGTTCTAAATCAGATATAGATAATGTAGCACAGTAAAGATTACATTCATATGAATGCATTAGTGAGAGAGATTGCATGTCTGAATTAATTCTACCTGGCAGCGTCTCTCTACTTGTAGTGAAGCTGTGGGATTTAGTCATTAAGAAATATATGCTTGAACTTTTCAGTTTCAGAGCTATTTTATTGAGAAATCACAGAACAGTGTTGACAATACATTTCCGCGCTGAATGATTCTGTGTGCGCGCGCGATCTGTCTGTAATGTGTGTGCGTTACAGTGCAGCAGCGCATTAGATTAGAACGGCGATTAATTTACCTACCTGTACAATAAGCGGTTTAAAACGTGCATTCTCCTGTTCAATTTCGAGCATCCAGTAATATAATCTCACATGTCTTGTGGAGCGCTTTCAGAGTATGCATTTATTTGTCATTTTAACTGTTTGGAAACGGGCGTAAATGTGGAATTCCTTCAAAGATTTCTTATCCTGTTGCGCCCTCTATAGGACCAGTGACTAGTCATCGTTAAGCTTAAAGCGTCATGGCAGAGCATTGAAGTCGACTAGTCGGTGCAACCCCTACTCTCAATGTATGTTCACACTTTATATTATTGATGAATATCATGGAAATGCAGGATGAACTATAGCTGGAAGGAAGAATGAGACTGTCTGCAACTGGAAAACTATTTAAAATCAAAACTGTGGGCATATATGTTACATCGTTTCATTTTAGCTGGCAGACAGAGCTATTAAAAGTGCTCATGCAAGTCTGAGCATGTATCAAATTTATCTCCTGCAATGCACCCAATCAGCTCATTCTTCATTGCAGAAATGTAGCATTTTGTTTGTTAATTTACCTCCTCCATAAAATCATGCAGTGTCACGCCACTAAGCTACGTCTGAAACACTCTGTACCCTGCAGTGCATAAGCCCTAAAAGAACCAGCGTTCCTGGAATTCAGAGATCCAAACTCCCCCTCCCTGCCATGCTGAATTATTAAATAATCCAGGAATCGCCTGTACCGGGACTCACTTTCTCTCCTGGCCTAGAGTTGAGCCAGACGCCTGGGGCTTATTGGCTTAGCGTTTCCGGCCAGGTTAGAAAGAGACAGGCCCTAAAAGGCTCTTAGAAGAGATTAACGTCCCAGACTAAAAATAGCCTACAATGGTTATCCCGCACTTACAACTGGTGACACGTTACAAAATGTGAATATTACTGTACCGACTACACACCTGTGTGTGTTTGGATGCTTGCACACGTCAATGCAGTCAATAATGCAAAGCTTGTGTTCAAAGCATGAACATACAAGCATAATATAAGCCAGTAATGGGCAAACTTGGCCCTTCCAGGCCACTTTCCTGCAGAGATTTGAGCCAACCCTGATATGACTCACCTGCCTGTAGCCTTCTAGTAGTCTTGAAGACAATGATTAGCTGGTTCAGGTGTGTTTGATTAGGGTTGGAGCTAACCTCTGAAGGAAAGTGGCCTGGAAGGGCCAAGTTTGCCCACCCCTGATATAAGCCATCATTAAATCCTCGAGTAGTACTGGTTGTACTGTTCAAGTAGGATATTTATCACAACCAGATCAGGGCACTATCCGTCTGAGCCAGACTCATAAAACATGATTTAAGGGGATGTCCACTATGTCCAAGGAAAACCCCATGTGTAACTTGCCCTCAGACATGGAAAAACGGTCTCATGTGTGACACCACCTGTGGTGCTTCAGTTCTGGGTAGCGGCTGTCAGCTGACATTAAACTGGCAGAACACAGTGTGCCCCAGAGCAAAGGAAGCTAAACCTTGTTACAGCCATTTGAACAGTACCAGCATGCCACACACACACGGGAGATATGTGTTAAGGTCAAAGCTTACGGTAATGATTGAAGGAATTAGATAAGATTTGTAAGCAGATATAAAGTCTTGGTAAAGAATTATCTATAACATAAATTTTACAGGCAGAATTGTTGTGGCTGTAACATCATACAGCATCAGATAAACATTTTTGGTACTTCATATACCAAGGTATTTACATGGTACTTCAAAGAATAGCATGGTATCGGTTCACTCAGAGAAACACATGTGACCACATAATGTTTGTAGTGTAAATGCTAATCTGTCCTCATATGACTCAGACAACAGTAAAAGGCCGCCTACTCACTTGTCAATCAAGCATTGCGCTAAAATAAGTTTCATTTCATACTCAACTAAAATAACTGAGCAAGTCTGTGGCAAGATATATTTAGAGAGGAAGAGTGTGCTGACATGTATGTGCTTTTTGACCTTTATCAACATGCATTTGCAACATACATGCAATATAAAGATGTAGTAAGTGATGTACGCAGTGATTAATCCAAACCACCCCCCACTCCTCCTCAATGAAATCCTGTGATTACAAACGGTCACAGGAAACACATTTTAGCTAGTTATGCACAGAAATTTCGGGAACCGAAAATCTTTGTACGAAACATCAAAAATTTAATTTTAGGTTTTGCTGAAATAGTTTCAGAGGGCCTAAATCATGAAGTTAATCTAACAGATTTTCCAATTTTGACTGCCACCAACTTTTTTGTGGATGATGCAAATAAGCTACAACAAGTAAACATGTTAGCAGAATGTACACACTTCACCATGACCAAAAATGAAGTTAGAGTATCAACATTTGATCGGCTAAAACTTTACTACAATTGGTTTATCACCTGTGAACAAGACTCGTTGAACAGCACTACTCAATTACCCAAATTTGTTTAGCAAAATGTTATTTTCATTTTTTTTTCCTAAATTAAAACTTTTTAAAAACATTTTTTTGTGATTCACCTAAATGAATTGTTTACTGAGCCCCAACAGTATTTATTTATTTATTTATTCAAAATTAAAGATTGAACCCAAAATCAAAACCAAAAATAGAATGCTTTTTAATAATCAATTAAGGAAATAAATATATATATATATATCTTTATATTATAGAGATAGATAGATAGATAGATAGTGTGTCTTTATGTGTGTGTTAGTTGACTAACAAGCTATGGACATTGAATGCCTTTCCTGATAAATGCAAAATTGACAGAAAGACTGATAGAAATTGTGTGCATGAAATAGATGCTGATACAGTAAAAGTGTGCCATCGGAGGAGTGCAAATTTTACTTCACCGTTTTGGTCAATGATTTCAGCCCTTAAAAACAGTTTTTTGGGTTGCTGAAATTTCGTTGCATCAGCACTAATATTAACAAAAAAGGTCTTTTATGTCAATAAATACCAATAACAGGCACGAAAAATTCCTACTCTTTCTCTAGCACAGACTTCAAATTCCCTTGGTAACAAATTCCCCCCATTCGCTCTCCCCTGTAGGGGTGTTAAATTGGTTCCGTGATGAGCATCAGGTGGCAAAGAATCAAGATCAGCTGAGGCTACAGGCCCCCGAAGAAAGATCTCACATGCAACCACCGCTTTAGGCAGCAAGGGATGGGAAAGCAAGCATGAAAGAATAACAAAATGGCTGTGTGGACAGAGAAAGATGACAGATGCATAGAAATGAATACAGGACAGGAAACCAGAGCCTGAGAAAGAAGCAGAATGCAAGAGTACGCAAGCAAG